GGGGGGGGGGTTATCTCAGTACTGACTGGGCATTTAGAGAAATGCATTTAAATGCCCTGTACTCCTCTGTGGCCTTTCAGATGTTCTTTGTGAATGTTTTTAAAAACAAATTCCATTATAATGGTGTCCAGAAAAGCACAGAACTACAGATCTTTGCTTGTGAAAACACTGAAGTAATTTTTTTTTTTAATGGGTTTTAATGCATTGAGCAGCTGGCTTCTGGAAAATGCATGTTGCACTGTTTTTTTTTTTTTTAAGCAGATTTGGTAGCAGATCAACATATGTACCTGGGAACAAAGAAATGTCCAAATGCAACATGGTTTACTCGAATACATTTTAATGATGTCTTTGTTTTCAGTTTATTACTAGATTATTTTTTTTTACCTCAAGTCTGTTTCAACCACAAAGTGGCAGCTCTGCAAAGTTGAGTTACGAAGATCAGAACAACTGAAGCCCTTTATTGTATAACTGTGCACTCTTAAATGTTCATGTCAAATGGATGCTTTCTGCATGGCTCACACTGTCTTGTTCAGTGTGTAATCTTGATGCACTATTACCACCATGTATTGGACAATTTGTTTTTTTTTTTTAGAGGACTTCGGTTGTTGTAAGACTTGATTCTTTGAAATTGAGCCATTTCTACTTTTGTATTCCTTGTCCACCAATGCCTGTGTTGTTCACAGTGCTAATTTATTTGATATTCAAATACCTAGGCTGTACTGTTTTGTACTTTTTTGTTAAAAAGGTGAAAGAACAATAAATTATATTTTCAAACAATTATGACACTTCTTTTCACATCTGCCCTACTGTATACATGAATGTTTTCTTCTTTTAAAAAAGAACCAGTGCTGTGTGGTTGCATAGTGCTTGATGCAAATGTGCACTAGAAAATCCAATTCAACGAAGTTAACATACACGGAGACTGGCAATTAGTGTTACAACCATATTCCAGATATTGAGAACTTGAATTTATCCTCTCACTAGATGGGTGTGTGGAATGAATCATGAGACGGAATTCAGAATATTCCAGATTAAATATTTGGATGTGGAAGAGTGGATGCAACCTTTTTTTTTCTAGGTGGTGAAGCCATTCCTTTGAAACGTCAGGAGGCTGCAGTTTGTAAATTCTGATGTTTAACAACTCCCTAGCTTTAGATGTCAGGATTTACAAACCTCAGTTTGTTCAAACTCCTACATTCTTTTTGGTTATAAAAGGCCAGCATTAATCTTGGGTACCAAGTGTGAGGATCTATTCAAATCTGCATTCTCCTATATTCCTTACTGCAACAGTTCAAACTACTCTTGCAGCATACAACGGATAATTCCATCCAGGGAGTCTGGTTGCAGTCACTAATTGATCTGAGAATGATCTGATTATTGGATATTACTGGAAAGAAACAAGGATATGTTTTGAAATGGCTGAGTAGCTTTTGTTCCACAGTCCTATAAATTCAAGTGTAATCAAAAATGAAAATATAAAACGATTCCACTAACCAAAATTTTTTAATTCTATTTTGAAGTTTAATTAAAAATTAAAGCTTTAATTCCATTTTAGTTTGTCCTCGCATCTGGTTTAGAAACGAGGATTACATCTGGGAAAAGTGATCCTGGTGTGAGAGTCTGCCTGTTTTGTGTCTGTGCCTGCCAAGTGCTTGCCGGGGTAGGCTTCGTGTCCCCTGCGGCCCCAAATTGGACAAAGCGATCAGAAATGGACAGATGGATGATTTTCCCTCTGAAGAGAGCTCAACACATTGAACACCTCCACTGTGTTCCAGAACTTTCTGCTCGACCTCTTAACTGCTTCCCACTATTTCATTCCAAGCAAAAGTACACCGTTCATGCAAAAAAGGGCGAAACATTTCAGTTTCAACCGAATGAGATCTATGAACAAAAAAAAACCGCAAAGCTGTAACGGCAGACGGGTTAAAAGATCACAGGGAATATACTGCCGCTGCAACGCTTTGATCTGTAAAGGTCGCGCATGTTATTGCATCATCTAAATCTAGCTATCCCTGGCTTTACAAACAAGCCCTGCTTCTTAGTAAAGGTGGTGTAGAAAATAAAGGTTATCTTAAAAAAATAACAAGCTATTTAATACCTTTTTATGTTTTCCTACATTTATAAACAATATATTTAGTAACAGCAACAGGCACAACAGAAAATATTAAAAGCAATCTCAGATGTACTATTGGGTAGAGAAGTCTGTCCTTCGACACGTCGCTTTATAGCCTAGGGAACAGTTGTTTAGGAAGTCGACGTCAGGAGACCTTGTAATAGCCGGTTTGTGCTTTACGTGACTCACCACTGCCCGCAGCTGTTTCTGCTGCGCAGCTCAACAGTGTAAATGCGCCGCCAGACCAAGAGTTTTCAGAGGGTATGAAAAGCACCAGCCGAATCGCGTTCTCAAATAAGATACTCCTCTCTCAAAAACGGATAAACTGTAATTTAAATAGCAGAAAGAAATAAGCGAATAGAAATGACACAATAACTCGAGAATTGAACCTTCTAAAAAAAATCAAGAACGCTGGATCAGTTACGCAGAGCCCGAAATGATGACGTAAACTGCTTATCACACCCCGCATTCTTACAGTTTAACCTATGTCTGAAAGTTATTAAAAACTGTTTTCTTGTTTTTATTCTCGACAACCTCAGATTATTTCACCGGACCCTGGCACTGGTAAACGCTTCTGCGACACATGCACCAAATCACGCATCAGCTAGTTCGTCCAAACGTGTATTGTCTTGTTTGCACTGTGAGCAGGAAAGCTGACGAATACGTTTTTGGGAAATAAATCCTTCGAATGAGGTCAAAGCAACCCGGCAGCGCTGGTCTCCAGGAGGAAACCCAGGCGAACGTGCGCAAACTGGTGGTCTCCGAGCCCGATGGACGGGGGTGCGGCAGTTTTCCGCAGGAGGTGTGCGCGGGAATTCCCACAATTAACCCTATTCATTATCCCGCCTCTCCTCTCCCCCAAGCCTGCCAGAGAATAATCACCCGAGTGATTCTTCTCCTTGTGAAGAAAACGGAAGCGCAAAAAACCCCTAACAGAACCGTTTTTGCAATCACACAGATTTTTTTTAATCTCCTGTCAATCGATCATACAGTTCTATAAAAATAACTGCAAAACAACGCGTAAATTTTATTCCGAAAATTATAAACTTTTTTTTTTACATTCAGAACATAGAATATATAGGATCTAAAATACTTGATATTATATATCCGTACACGCCTTATAAACACTCACCATCACATCTGTAGCATATTGTAGTTACGCTATCAATTGAATGAAGTGGGATTACATAATTATGAATAAATCATCTAACAACAGATAACAAGCAGAGACAAGGCTGAACTGCCTGCAAAAATATAGAACCATTTCGCTTTCAGGTGCGTAGACCCGAACTCACCTTTTAAAAGTAGCTGGTGAGTAGTTAAAATTTAAAGCAAATCCATCGTTGTTAGCAAGCAAAGCAAAATGTCCTACATCCACTATTTGTTTTCGGGACAATCGCACAACAGAAGAGTTGTATGACGTATTGTTTGCATCTTGTGCGATTATAAATTACACAAACATTTCGCAATATTTAGTTCCACCTTGCATTTTGGGTGCCGAATACACCACTGAAAATAAGTTCTGTACACCTTGTTCTTCAAAGCTATTTGAATAAGCATACATCCCATATTAATTTAAACAAATATGTGCTTCAGCAGAGTTCTTTACACGTCAGCACAGGGAAATACATTTCCTGTTGGTGGCATGCTTCTAAAACTTGAGTTAGGTTCTGAAAAGGTCTGATGGAATTGGAGTTGACTTCCATTCCAGACCAATTTCTATATTAAAGAACTGCTCTTATTTATACATGCTGCAAAAATGTAACCAATTTAAATTAAGTTAATGGAGACAAAATATCTTATTGTGAGGGTCTCAACAATATCTGTGCATCTTTCTCAGAAATTAATCATCTAATAAAAGCTGTTCAATAAAAATAAACTTGAAAAATACGTAGTTTCAGGCTAGGCAAATTAATGATTAGAAGCTCTGAAGTCGGGTGGTTTTGAAACCCAACACTAAGTGCAGAAACATGTTAACAAAAAGTCTACGCAAGCAAGTAAATTAAAAGAATCAGTCAGCACTGGTGATTCAAGGGAAGCATGAACGAAAACTAACAAACAGGGATTCTTCAGCAAGAGGGTTAGGAACACTGCTCTAATTTACAAAATATTTTCACCGATTTTACTGCGATTCTATGAAATCGGACAGCTCTGTGTTCTCTGCTTAGTATTTGTGGCCTGAAGATGAAATGAGTCATTTCAAAATGTAAGTACAAAATATATTTACACATTTAAATCACAGAATCCAGAGCACAGACTTGCGATAATGGCATTATTTAATTGGTAATGCTCTGTTTCATGGTATAAAACAGACTGCTGTATTTCTAAAGAACGTTCTTCCTAAATGAAGCTGTCCCGCCACTGCACTGAAAAATTCACAATGTTTAACAGTTAAAAAAAAACAGGCATTATGACTGAGTTAAGCTGAACCAGTTTTTAATAAATACAGTATTTTACTGATGCAATTATCTTAAATACTAAGTGGCATACTTTAATTATTCAACACAAGCAAATTCACAGGGTACAATTTATTGAATCATAAAAGTAGGAAGCTAAATAATTTTTAATCTAGTCCCTGCATAGTTAAAATTACAACATATATACAAGAAACTACAGAAATAATGTTCATCTTTAACTGGCTCAGTCATCTAAGAAGAGTCCATTTTCCACATTATTTTAGAAACATTTAAAGGGAATATGGAGTCATTCTTAGCAGCATAATATGCCAATAAAAGATCACTGTTACAGAGTAATAAATTATTCCCAAATTATTTCCAGCTTCTGATTCTTGTTCTTCAGTCAGAACACACCAGTAGATCTGCAGGAATCCCAGCCTCATCCTACTTCCCAGATCTCCGAGATTACAGCCCACAGGGAGTACGAGTTCATTCTTCAACTACAAGAGTGATGTGGAAAGTGCAGCCTAACCGTTCTGGATTAAACATGCTGCTTCACGGACAATATGGCAGGGACTGTTTCCATGTTTGTGTGGTTTTGCAAACCAAATAGTGTGACGTTTTGGACAAGTAATTATATATATATAATGCAGTCCAACGAAGTGGCTCTTCTGTCATCACTGACCCTGAAAAACAACCCAGGGAAGAAAAGAAAATCAGTTTCAGAATGGCCATACAGTTTTCAAAAACCCTGAAACGATAAATGTAACACAGATAAACAAAAGCACAAGGTGAACTTAAATTTCAGGACCCATAATTCCATGGTTTGTGCAGCTATTCAAAGAAAATGTGATTTGTTTTCACCGATTTGCTCTTATTAATATTCAAAACCTAGAGAAAAAGTCTTTTAAATCATCTCTAAGGTGCTGCACAACAGAGGAAATAAGTATGAAATCCAGATAGTCATGGAAAGGCTTAAAACTTTGTTTTTCACCATTCAAAACTGAACAGCTCATAAATAAAGTTTCACAGAAACTTTGTGGCTGGCAAGAACAGAAAAGTTTAATAAGTCTCCAGTGAATTCAGAAGAAGCGGGGGAAGACTTCAGTATTTGACAGATTCACTCTGCACTCGAACAAGGAGACTGAAGTAGTGCTGGGACTGTCAACGCACCTGTCTGGGTCAGGGTCATTTTTAACCATGTAATGAAGCCTGCACCTCTGAGAGCCTGCTGCAGCTGGGAGTGCCCATCTTCTGTGCCCTTTGGTACAGATCACTGTCTCCAAAATACCGAGCTCTGTATAGCAAGCCTTCTTCTGCAAGACAGTGAGAGAGCCATGTGGAAAAAACATAGAAACATTCGGACTGTACTATTTGTGCAGGACAGTTACACAAGCGGTTACAGTCTATTCGTCTGGCTACAGGTTCATATGCACAGAGTGTGGCTGTTTATCGCCTCTGAGCACGGAATATGTTTGGTTAATATGAAGTAGTGTTACTTCAAATTCCCATCTTAATTTTCACACACAACAGCCACACACCCTCAAAAGCACCAAAACGTGACTGCGAACAGATTTCATTCACAAAACAAATGAATGTATCCCCAAGGTTTTTCCCCACAAATGGTAAATAACACCTGTGAAGGGTGCAAAAAAAAGAAAGAATTTGTCATCAACTCACTCTGTTGCTTTTCTTTCCAACAGTTGTTCCTAAGGTTAGAAATGTAATCGTCCTCTACGCTCCTGTCTATGTTTTTCAGGTTTGCTCCAGTGTACTCCTCGGCAAAGTGCTCCCCCACGTAGTAAGGCACCTTCAGGGTTGCAGTGAGCCTCCGGTGAGTGTGTCCCACTGACCTGCATTTGGACAGTTAAATCCGGCATCGTTAGCTTACGAGTCACCAAGCATTCCCTCATTCAGAGTCTGGACAGCTGACAGACTGGCAAAGAAGGGAAGCAGGAAACCCCCTCTGTATTCATTTCTAATACCAGAAGGTTGGCACGTAATGCTGTTTTTATCACAGTACAAAACACAAACCTCAACACAAAAAGAAAAATAAATGTCTCGCCCACAATCTCTCCAAGGCTCTTTTGAATCCAATCACATGGACATGGGGGTAAAGAACAAACTGAAAATCTATAATTGCTTGACCAATTAAGTCATCATTCAGAATGATTTTTGGTTTGTAGGAATCAGGTGTTACTTTAAATTCCTATTTTTCTTCTCGCACATAACGGCTAGCCAGCAGCCATATCACCCTGCAACTCACAACTGGCAACCCACTGAAGCTCAGCAGGTGTGAGCCTGGTCAGTTCCTGGATGGGAGACCTCCTGGGAAAAGCTAAGGTTGCTGCTGGAAGAGGTGTTAGTGGGGCCAGCAGGGGGCGTTCACCCTGCGGTCCATGTGGGTCCTAATGCCCCAGTATAGTGACGGGGACACTACACTGTAAACAGGTGCCGTCCTTCAGATGAGATGTAAAACCGAGGTCCTGACTCTTTGTGGTCATTAAAAATCCCAGGGTGTTTCTCGAAAAGAGTAGGGGTGTAACCCCGGCCTGGCCAAATTTCCCATTGGCCCTTACCAATTATGGCCTCCTAATAATCCCCCTCTATGAATCTCCTCCCCACTGATAGCTGATGTGTGGTGAGCGTTCTGGCGCACTATGGCTGGATGCACCCAGGTGGATGCTGCACATTGCTGGTGGTGGTGGAGGGGAGTCCCCATTACCTGTAAAGTGCTTTGAGTGGAGTGTCCAGAAAAGCGCTATATAAGTGTAATAATAATAATTATTACAAACCACCGAGACCCATCTAACAACAGATTTCATGCATGAAACACGTCAGATCCTGCACCGTTTAATTCCTTTTAAACTTTTTTTTTTGTCTGAAATTGGTAGCTCATTTACTAGTGATTTGACTTGTCTAAATGGCTATGTAGTTCCATGTAGTTCCCGGTCTCCTCTCAAGCAAATTTGAGTACACAACAGAGCAGTCTGTTTGGCCCATTGCACTCATTTGCTTCTGTCTCTTTATAGTTCCCTAACCACCACTGGTTGTACTGCAAACAACTCCCTGACCAAGAATGAACTTTCTTGAAACAACAGCCCAAAAAAACATTTTGATTCTAAGTAGCCAATCAATCAAACTGAACGAACCTGTCACTGAGAATACACATGGTCGCAAATGAGAGGCAGCCAACACCCTCATGAAGCTCATTTGATATTTAGGAGGTCATTTAGTACATCAAGCCTCGTCTTGAAAAATGCAGGGTACAAGGCTAGGACACGGCTGCGCAGCTTGTTCCATACTCTAACATCTATGGGGTTGCAGGGCCTCTTGTTTTAAATGCACTCCCATGTGGTTTTCTGCTGTCTCTCTGACGTGTTTCAGTATTGATTCTGAAGAAGGCCATTGGGTTAACCTTGTCAGTGCCCTTAAAGTGTCTGAATACTTGAACCAGATCTCCTCATATTACCCTCTGCTAAAATCTAAAAAGTTTGATTCGTTTTGAATTTTATTCCAGTTCTCTCTCGACCACCATAGCACTGTGCTTCCCAAAGGAGGAGGGGTTTAACTTTATAATTGGTAAACTGGCCCTGGTGTGACTGTGTGTGTGTGTGTGTGTGTGTGTGTGTGTGTGTGTTTAACAGAGCCATGGTTCTGAAGAAAATCCTATCGCAGGCAGTTTGGAGATCCTCAGATATTCATCATATTAGAAGTCTTGACAACTTTTGGGATGACACATCAGTGGCCAGTCAACAAACAGCAGATGCTGAAAAGGATTACATGGCAGACCGCAATGTTTTGTGTTGTCTGCCGGTGATAAGGTACATGTCAGACCACTGAGGTGTGAATAAAAATGACCACAAATCAATTACCTTGTAAAACGGTTAAACAAGGTTAATGATGAGAAACATAAGCATGAAATCTAAAGATATTTTATTCCTTCTTTAAAACTCGAAAGTCATTTAAAATTAATTTAAGCTTGTTAATAGCTCCCTCGGAAATGATAACCAGAAACCCATCATGTGCACTTTCTTTACACCCTACAGACAATGGCAGTCTGATTTTGTGCTATTTTATGTCATCATCCTTTATTGTACCATGTCATATTTTAAACAAGGAACCTGAAACTCCGTGCATGTTCCCAGTTACCAAAGACAGCAAAAGGTAAAACAGCATTCACTGTTGTGCCATACATTAAGTAATGTGATAAGAAGTGGTTTGTGAAAAGGTCATGGAAAAAAAAACTTGGCAGCACAACTGACACTATTAGCACTAAAAAAGGCAACTTTACAGTCCCTTGGGTTTCTGAGTAATGCTTTCTCAAAAATAATCCAAATCTGTAGAAAACAAAATCTACATGTTTTTCAAATGTAGTTCCAAGTGAAAAGGTGTTAATTTTGCAGATTAGATAAAGTATGGATTAACTGATTTCTTGAGCCTTTGAGATAACTGTCTCTTTTTATGAAATTATTGACAAAGTGTTGGTTAACTCAGTTGCATCAGAGTTTTTCCCCCTCCAATCATCAGTACCTTAAAGGAGAAGAGTTCAATCAATATGCATTGAGGTCCTAAAGTGAATAGCTGCAGACAGCTCCTAGGACATTAAGGAATTAATAGTCATCACAGAAAAGGCTCACATCTTTCAGGAACAAGTGAGGAAAGTGTTACTGAAATTTTAAATGATTAAACGATTGAGGTCAAACCTTTAGTGTTCTTGCTGCGCCTCACTCTGCTATTCCAATTACCTGATTAGCAAGTTGTGAAATATGGACATAGGGAGGTTGTACTAGTAATTTAGCAACAGGTTGTTAAAGTTACTCAAAGTGTAAAACCTAGATAGGAGGCCAGTATTTCACATCGTCAAAAAATAAACTGTAAAAAAGTGGTGTCCACGTACACAGGCCAATAAAGAATACCAGAAAATCGAGACTCACGGTCTGTGGCTGAGACTGTAGGGAGGGCTGGACACCATCATCTGACTGAGTGCCGAGACGATGATGAGGATGAGGATGGGCATCAGCTGGACGAAAAGGGCCAGGCCCCCCTGTACGAGGCACAAACAAGAACTTCAGGAA